AAAAATGTTTTTGCCCAAAACATATGTGCACTACATGTCAGTAAAAATACTATGCAAATATCGATGTCCTTGAATGCTGAGTAAACACTGACAAAGGGATGCCAAATGCTGTCATTTTTCTGTAAAGCAAATTTACCTTGCCTTTGGGTATAAATAAAGTTACCTTGACCTTGACCTTGAAAGCACTGATTGTATCTCTTGTACTTTATCAACGCAGTATCTAAAAACTTTGCACCGTAGTGGTTAAAATCTCATTCTAATAAGAGTTAAAAGCTCATTCAGTTATTAGGTTTATAGGATTATTGAATTATGGTTAATGGTTGGTAGAAAATTTTTTTTAAACATTATCTGCCAATTACATCTGCCACCCTTCTCCAAATCTGTGCCCCTACCTGGCCCCCCCAACAAAAATTTTCTAGACACGCCACTACAAGTAATGGCTCTTTAAGTAATGATTTAATTACTGCCACCTTAAAGGCCTGTGGTATCTAACATTTTAATAGAGATAGATTGATCATATTTAAGATCGAAGCATTACTTAATGGTAGGACTTCTTTGAGCAGTCTTCTAGGAATGGGGTCTAATAGACAGATTGATGATTTGAAAGAAGTAATTATTTGAACTTAATTCAGAAAGATCAATTGAAAAGAGAGTCTAAATAAATATCAGAAGCACTGAAAATAATAATGTGTTACATCTAAGTAACACAGAAGTAATAATAGAAGATGGCTAAGCATTTGTTGCCTGTTTTCTCTGAGCTACTTGAAGAGATAATGGTGATAAGAAAAGTCAAACCATACAGCAAGAAGCATCCCATCTTGGGAAACTTCCTGTCAAACAGTGGGGATATCCCTTAGCTTCCTCTGAATACCACAAATGGAGCTGTTGGTAGAGAGGCACCTTTATCCAAAACCCCCTCTATCTTTGTTGACCCGACCCTCCGCTCCAATGCAGACCTAGTATCTCTGAGAAATGTTCCAAGGCAGTGGTTTTTCTCATTGAATTTCCTCAACACATCTTCTATACTAAAGGCTTACTAACTTGAGCTAGAACATGATGTGACAGCTAAAACAGATACCATATTGTAGGAAGTAAACTGAGTACATCCTCCATCACCACAAAGTGGTGATACAGGCTACTGGGAAAGCCTCATGTTTTTTTTTT